AGGAAGGAAGGAAGGAAGGAAGGAAGGAAGGAAGGAAGGAAGGAAGGAAGGAAGGAGAAAATAAAACGCAAAAGTGTTCTGGTGACAGTGAATTTTATATAAAAAAACATAGAACCAACCCAAAACAAACTTCTAAAAGAAATTTGCTTTTAAAATAAAATAACAGGGAAATGGAGAGACCTAAAACAAGCTTACCTCCTCTTTCTTCCCTCTGGGCCAGTAGGTGACTGCAAGAAATACTGCTCCACAAATAATTCCTAGTGCCAAGATGATGAATGGGACAGCTTTGGCCAGACTGGATTCAAGCAGAGCAATCTTTAGTTTTTCTGCACTCTCTCTGTCAAGCACGTAACTCTGAGAAGGAAAAGATGAATGAGGAGGTGGAAGAGGAGACACATTCGGGTTATCTGCCCACACCACTGTGGCCAAGCATGGTTTAGATGGAGAAGGTTGAGCCCCAAAATTTGCATTTAGGATGTGAGTTTCAGAGTTACTCCACTTCTGGTCTACTGTATCTTATCACTTCCAATCTACTCAAAGGAAACAGGGATTCTTATAAGCTCCTCTGTGCAGACTTCAGCTTTAGGCACTGATCTACACATGGGGATGCTCATCTACAAGGAATCAAGGAAGCCACCCGAATGTCTCCTAAAAGCAACCCCACAGAAGCAACCAATAACTTGTTGGAAGAGTATTTTGGACAGAAACCAAAGGCTAGTTGAACCAGAGAGAATCCCTGTTTGAATGGAACATCATCTCTTTGCAGGCCTGCCCAGCAAATGACCTTTCTGAGTGATCATAACAAACTGTATGATAAATACTCAGTCAATGGAGTACCTAAGTTCATTGAATGCATCAGTTCATGGATATCAAGGGAATAAATGCAACAGCAGCAAAACCAATGATGTGCCAAAGGCCAGGAGAAGATCAAAGACTGATGGATAAAAGCACCCGAAGCCAGACCATGAAGGTCCATGATCAAGAACTGCTCAAGAACCAGTGCCCTCCCTCAACTGCCTTCCCAATTGTAACAATATGCCAGGACAACAGTGATGAAAGCCAGCTAACCACAGTCCAACACTTTTAGGCTATAAAATAGGAGATGAAGAGGAGCTTTGGATGAGGCATGCAAAGATGTGCATATTGTGCCCAAGGACTTCTGGCTATCAGGCTAAGGAGATACACTAGAGAAGAAGAGGCCAAGAAGATAAATGCCCTGTTCTCCAAAAAACCATCCAAAACATACTCCCAACTGCAGTGCAACCACACAGTAACAGCAGAACCACCAGCAGCAGAAACTGAACAGTCCTGGAAGAACATATGGGAGAAAGAGAAGACACACACCACCAGTGCAAAGTGGCTGCAGGACCTGAGAGCAGACCACAGCAATCTCCCAGAACAGCCAGTCACCATCACAATAGCAGACATCCAACGGCGGGTCAGGAACATGAACAGCTGGACAGCTCCTGGCCCGGACATGATCCTCACCTACTGGTTAAAGAAACTAACAGCAGTGCATGAACGGCTTAGCAGCACAGATGAACCAGCTGCTAGCAGCAGGCTCCCACCCAGACTGGCTAACACAAGGAAGGACAATGCTGATCATGAAAGACCCCCACAAGGGAATAGCACTATCCAACTACCAGCCAATAACCTGCCTCTCCACAACATGGAAGGTCCTATCAGGCATCACAGCCACCAAGCTACAAGACCATATGGACCAGTACATAAGCACAGCTCAGGGGGGGCATTGGGAACAACACCAGAGGCTCAAAACACCAGTTGCTCATAGATACAGCAGTCACCCAAGACTCAAGGTCTAGGCAGACCAATCTGAGTACAGCTTGGATTGACTACAGGAAAGCCTATGACTCAATGCCACACTCATGGATCTGTGAATGCCTGGCA